CCACAAGTACTCCTGTTCTTTTTGCAGATACAGACTAACACGGCTGCTACTCTGAAACCGGTCATTGTGTAAATTGTATTTCTTCCTTGCCAGGTAAGAGGTCATATAATTCAGCAGGACCCTAGAGTAGACTGGAATGTACAAATGTTTTCATTTCCAAGCTGAAGGAAATGCAATCCACATACAATTTAACAAGAGAAAAATAAATTGAGTCTTAAAAATTTTCAGTGTTAATAATCCCAGATGTTATTAATGGCACATGGATATAATACATAAATGTATTCTGACACTCATTTTAAATAAAAACATTTTCACACCCTTCAAAATCAGTTGCTGCTGCTAAAGATATACTCAAAATTGTAATATCTACCCAGGACATATGTCATATAGTAGAATGTTAACATGGTTGGGAAAGCTACTACTGTCTTCAGAAGTTGCAATTAAAAAAAAAAAATTACAGTGGTACTTATGTTCTGTTTTCTAGAGACATGACCACTGTTGTGGTGGTATGACTATTAGCCTAATAACCTTCATGTCCTTTTAAAGATCTTGAGTGGGATTTTCAAAAGTGCTTAAGTGATTAGGAGTGCAAGTCCTATTGACTCCTGATGGGCCTTGTGCTTGCTTCTAAGTTACTTAAACACTTGTGAAAATCCCAACTTCTGATTTTAATGCTACTTTCTTCAACTCTACTAATATGTTTTCTCCTCAGTGAATTAGTACCAGCCTATGACTCAACCACCTTTGTCTTGGAAAACTTCAGGTAGGAATATGTCCTAAGAAATTACCATGAATGTCAAGGAGTATGTTTCTCATTTGTTCTTTTATTAGGTTTTAAACCATTGAATAGACCTATTGAAAACCACAAGATACCTGTGTGCAAGTGTGAGGAACTGAATCACATCTCTTGACTTTTGTCTCCAGTAGTGAACGGAAAAAGTAGCTACCAATTCAATAAACTGACTGCTTAAAAAAAAAATTCCATGCTGAAGGAAAATGATTTCTCTCTGATCACCCCACAAGTTTAAAAAAATCTGCAAGGAACATTTACATGATCTCTACACTTAAAATTCTGCTCAGCTTGCAAGTTTTGCAACTTTCTAGATCTGTTGATTTTTTTTTTTTTGTAATGCAACCATTAAATAATTAATTTAGAATACTTCGATTAAATTAGAAGTAATATTTGAGGCTAGAACTTTATAGTCCAATTTCCTCTGAATTCTGACTTATTTTAGTGAAGATTGGAAGTAGATTGAAAGAAGTTGCATACACCCTTATACTTCTCACTCTCCTCTGGCTTTTCCCCCCTCACAATAAAAGCATGCTTTAATCTCTCCCATTGTAAAATCCCATCCTTTACTCCACTTGCCTCTCCAACTACCACCCCTTTTATCTCTAAGATCACTGTATGCTCTGTTTACAATTGCTGTCTGCAGTTTCTCTTCTCAGACCAGTTTATTCCCATCTACGTCATCTCTCGTTCACTGTCGAGGTTGACTCCTGCCTCTGTATTGGCCCACGAAGCCAGCCTCCATCGCTCAACTTGTTTCCATATTCAAACAAGCCTGTTTGTCCTGTCTCCCATCCTGCTCCTCATGCTTGGGAGAAGCTGCCCATAAGCATCTGTAAAACTAATGCATTATCCTCCTTCAAAACTCATTTTCTATGATGCCTACAAGAAATTTGACAATGGCTAGATTATTGGTGTGCTGAGATCACTGCCGATCATGCTGACCAGTGTTGTCTCATTGTTTCCTTGTTCTCCCCTGTCTGTATTCACCTGTTGTCTCTTGTCTTATACTTAGATTATAAGCTCTTTGTGTAAGGGACCATTTTTTGCTTTGTGTTGCTACAGTGCCTAGCACAGTGGGGTCCTAATCTTTGACTAGAGTTCCTAGGTGCTATGGTAACACAAATAATTAACCATTGAGGACAAAGAAATAATACTAAGGTATCTAGACAGGTTGGAAACATGGCTAGTAGAAGATTTAAGGACAATTGCTGTTAATACATTTGTGGGGGTGGGGTAGGAGGGCAAACTTAAAACAAACGTTCATTGGGGACAATGTCGGGGAAAAAGTTGGGAAGCAATAATGGCTGAAAGATATAAGGATGATAGTGGATCTGTACCATAGAAAGGAAAAATAATCATGCACTTTTATCCTGCACATGATGGATCAAAGAGAGAAATTCCTCTCTCTATGTCTCCTGTGTGACTGCACCAGGGTTATGGTTATGAGCATTGCGTCACCAGAAAAGCATTGCCTAACGAGCTCAGATAAGAGCACCAAAATGAAGGGGTGGATGCGAATGGGTGGAGGAGATGATTTCTTAAAAGGAAAGATTGAGTTAACTATATGTAGCCTGGTTAGTAGATATCTGAGTAGTGGGGAAAGAACAAAAGTCTACATCTCTGCTGCTTATGCTCTTTATATATTTGGAGTGGCATTATTAGTGTGGTATGATATAACACTAAGTAATGGGATAGTATGTAGAGGAAATTGGGATAAGTATCAGAAGAACTTTGCTAATAATGAGATATATTAGGCAGTGGAATAGCCCCAAGGGATGTTGTGGCAGTCTGACTGCTTGGAAATTTTAAAACTTTTTTTTTTTTTTAAAGGATAATAGGGAACAATAGGCCCCATGGAAATAGATTAGATGAAGCAATGGTTCCTTTTCATCTCTAACTGCTGTGATAGCTTCAAAACATGCTACTGAACTTTATGTGGTGCAACAAAATCGATAGTTCTAACATGTAAATCAAATGCTATTTATTCTCTGTCGCCTCCCCACATAGGGGTTTGCTCCATCTCACTGTTGAATATTCATCCCTTCTTTCAACAGCACTTTGCGCCAACGGGCGGATCCTGTGTACAGTCCACCTCTTCAAGTGTCAGGGCTTTGCTGGCGACTAAAGGTTTATCCAGTGAGTTTGTATACTCTTAAAAATATTTTTCCTAACAAAAATTTATCCACGGGTATAAATACACTAGGTAGCGAGCTAGCTTAGACCCCAGTCGTGCAAACTCTTAAGCACATACGTATCACTGCTCATGTAGACAGGTAACCTTACTTCAGTCATTTCCTAGCTTTTGAGTATTTGACTTCGCAACTTTAATATTCTTTTAAGGTAGTTTTGTGTGTGCATGTGTGATTTCCTAGTTTAAAAAAAAATGAAACAAATTTCATCAAGTGATGTCATATAGACACCATATGACTTATCAGCAGACCTCTGTCACTGGAGCTAATGGAGTGATTGATAATAATAGTCAGTTGCCATCCCCTATGGAAGGCAGTGTGGCCTAGAGCACTAGACTGGGACTTAGCAGAATCCAGATTTTCTACCAGCTCTGCCACTGGTCTGCTGGGTGACTTTGAGAAGTGACTTCTCTTCTCTGTGTCTGTCTCCCCATCTGTAAAATGGGGATAATGATATTGACCTCCTTTTGTAAAACAATTTGAGACCTACTGATGAAAAATACTGTATAAGAACTAGATACTGTTATGTGGACTACACTAGAGGGGGATGACACACACTTTCCCATTGGATTTCACAGATACTTGCTGACAGAAGAGGAATGGGGAAAATCAGGAAGCTTGGGTTCCATTCCAGGCTCCTAAGAGTGTACTCTAGTGGGCAAAGACTTCTGCCAGTCTTCCCCAAGCTTGTCCCCTCTAACCTTTCCCTGTACCAGTCCTGGCTCTGTCTCATTCTTTTTGCGTACCCAGTCCACTGTCTGCTACTTGGGCTTCTCATCTAAATCCCAGTCTTCTTGCCTAACCAGTCTCAGTTGCCCCCTCTCACTTCTTCATCCAGTCTCTCTTCCCAGTGTCTTCATTCTCCCTACTTGGACTCCTTTTCCAATCTGTCTCCCATCCACAGCTCCTTTCCTTTCTCTCTTTGCCCAGAGAGTCCTAGGTCTCCTTCTATACCCCAACTTCTTGTCAGAGCATCTCTCCAGCTCTTTCAGTTTCCTTGCCCAGCTCATTCCGGTTCTCCCCCCTCCCCCCCAACTGTTCGTTTTTTCTCTTCCCTCCTCATCCCTCCAGTCTTACCAAGCTCCTTGTCCCAGTCTACTGCTTTCCCTGCCCCACAGTTAATCTCTTGTCTCCTCTGCATTCAAGTCAGGTGCCTTCTGCCTCCGCTCTACCTTGGTCCAGCGGGGGGTCATTTAGAGGAGAGGAGACCGGCTCCCTGCTCTCACTTAAAGCCTAGCTCCTCCCTGGCTCAAAGTATCCACGATCAGCAATTGTAGGGGAAGTTGCTCTGTGAGGATGGCACATGTGCAGTCTGAGCACTAGGAGCTCTGAGAGGCTCAAGCATGCTTAGTAAAGAAGTTTCTACTGAATGTGTGCAAACTAGTGTTTCAAAGGGGCAGATTTTCCCGGGGATGGGAAAAGGCGTATCCCTGACACACAAGCCATGCCTGCCAAATTTCAAGACTCTGGTCCACATCATGGGTCACTAGAGCTGTTCAAAGAAAAGGTCTCCACAATTTAATGTGGTCAAAGCGTGTTTTTTCCTTAACCTAATTCTCAGAAATGACTGAAATTTTCTAGTAAAATTCAGCCTGAGGCAAATGGAAAACTTCAGCCAAATTGTTAAAGTTTGGCAAAGTTATAATAAGCAACAGAAAACAGGGTTTTACAGTGAGAAGTATTGTACAGCCTTAATAGGCGTTGCTACCTGTTGCACCTATAATATATATGTGCTTAATTGTTTGCAGGATTGGGGCCTAAACTAGTTTACTACTTCTTGTATTCATAACCATACATAGCTGGGTCTGTGTGTGCGCACTCATCCATTACCTGAAACCGTTTTGGGAAGTTGGGAGGAGGAGAGGGTTTTGTTTTCTGAGAGGAATTTTTCTTGTACAGAGTCTGATATCTATCACTGAAATAGAAGAAATATCCAATGTGAATGACATTTCTTACGAAATCTCATTGAAGTGCAGCATTGAGACCACCGAGACATTGGTTCTGCATGAATGTTGGAACATGAACCACTAAGTTTTGCCTTTCTCCAATCCTCCAGTTTGGTCAGTGCTTTGAGGCAGCTCTGGGTACTATTTAAACTGTGCATGAAGTAAAAAATCTCTTATAGTTTACTGTTTTGAATACAGCATCAGCTATATCTTAAAGTCAGGGTCAACTCTGTACGTGACATTGTCAAAAGGTATAAAAATGCTATTTTTAAACAATGGTATGTTATGACACAATGTCAAAACCCAGGGAATTCAAGATAAGATTAACACTTCATCTTTGGCTTACACCATTGAGGGAGAAGGCTCTGCCATACTACTGATTTTGTTGTAATCGCAGTGCTACTTAACATAACTCTTTAATGAATCTCTGTTTTCAGTATACAGATTAGAAAACATAACTTGATTTTGCTTCAGCCCCCAACATAAAAGGGTTTGGAATTCTGCTCTCTAGTATTTCAGATAACTGGATATTTAATATAAAAAGTCCTCATTAAATTTTGTGAGAGAGGAAAAAGGGTTGTAATATTCTCAAGCTTAAAAATCTACCAATCATTTTTATTGCCCTCCTTATACACACATTTAATATGAAAAATCAGTTCTATAGCACTTGCCAAACTATTTCTGTTTACACTTGTTTGAACTACTGAAATGCAAGAAGAACAGGAATTGTAACTTTCAAGTTTTCTGTTGTGAGATACAGCCTAGCACCCAGATACTACAGTCATATGCACACTTTCTAAATGTGTGTTGATTTCTACCTCAATTCACGCTACGGTAGCTGTTTTTAGTCATGGCATGGTTTAAGTCCATTTCATATGTTACTGTTCTGACTGAGGCTGCAGGAAATTGTGTATTGGAATTCTGAATTTATTTTCTACAATAACAGATGCTTTTAATAATTTTACCTCCTTATTTCTTTTAAGGATGGAAATGGAGTTGTGCGTGGTTACTACTTGTCTGTGTTTCTGGAGCTCTCAGCTGGATTGCCAGAAACATCCAAGTAAGGAAATGTCTGTTTACACCTCTTTTATGCCTCTCACCCAAGGAGTTTAAAGAGCTTTACAAAAGTGTATTCAGCCTCATGGCTCTGCTAGGACCTGATCCAAAGCTCACTGAAGCAGATGAAGATTCCTATTGACTTCACCAGGCTTTGGATCAGGCCCCTCGTCCCATTTTACAGGTAGATAAGATGAGGCACAGAGGTTAAGTGGGTCTGCAGAAAGCGACAAACAAGTCAGCAACAGAGCTGTCAAGAGAACCCAGGTCTCAACTTCCAGTCCTGTGCTTGGTTAGCTAGAGCACTCTGACTCTAAGGCAAAGAGTTCAGCTGAGAGAGATGCTATAAAATTACCATTGTACAGTACTTTAGCCCTCAGATAAATCAAAATCATGTTATAACTGCCAATATTATAACCTTGCCCCTTACAGTCCACAGTTGCTCCAAAAAATGTTATTTATGTGCCTGGCTCCAAAATATGTCTAAATTTCTCAAGACTCTCTTTAGTGTAACAGGACACTTTCTGCAGCATTTAGCTTCTCAGAATATTTTCTGGTTCTGTTTAAAACTTAGAATGTAACTGCTGACTGGAGGTATAGAGGCAGTTTTAGCTGCTGGAGGAGCAGGAACTTGTGGGACTGAATCTCTGCTTAAAATTCCTTTGCCTATGAAAGACTGACTTGCCAGGCTTAGAAAGCACAATTTGATAGCTGAGTGACACACTCTGATTGAGGAGAGGTAAGAATTGAAACTAAGTAATGTGCTGGGCCTGCTCTGGAGGGATATGTTAATAGTGATTTTGGAAGGGATTTCAGACCGACAACTGAGTGGAGAGCCTTTCAGGTGAGGAAGAGGAGTTCAAGCATAATTTTGGGTTTGAGGTCCTCGAGTCCTAAGGAGAGGATTCTAGGCCTAATTGGAGAGAGGCTTTTCATAAAATGGTGGAGCGGAGCATTCATGCTGGCACGTGAGACTGAAACAAGAGATATTGGCCGATGTTAGCAGACTTTAATAAGCAAAACGTAATGGAAGCTTTTAAAAATTCCTTGTCTTCCACACATCCGGAACAATAAGATGCATTATGGGATGGGGCTTGCCTCTTCACATTAAGACCACTTTATAACACTTAGTACTAGAGCGGGGCGGGCAAACTTTTTGGCCTGAGGGCCGCATTGGGTTTCGGAAATTGTATGGAGGGCCAGTTAGGGGAAGGGGTCGTGGGCCCTTTCTAACCCGCCCCCTGTTCCCTGACTGCCCCTCTGGGACCCCTGCCCCATCCACCCCTTACCCCGCTCCCTGACCGCTTCCGGAACCCCCACCCCTGACTTCCCCACCACCACCCCATCCAACCCCTCCTCTCATTCCTGACTGCCCCCTCCCCGGGACCCCTGCCCCCATTCAACCCCCCTGTTCCCCGCCCTCTGACCACCCTGACCCCTATCCATACCCCCACCCCCTGACCACCCCTCTGAACTCCCCTGCCTTCTATCCAACCCCCACCCGATCCCTGCCCCTTATCGTGCTGCCTGGAGCACCGGTGGCTGGTGGCGCTACAGCCACGTACCGTGCAGCACAGAGCACTGGGTCAGGCCAGGCTCTTCAGCTGTGCTGCCCTGCCCCAGGAGCTCGCAGCCCCACCACCCAGAGCATTGCGGTGGGGCAAGCTGAGGCTGCAGGGGACAGGGGGAACAGCAGGGGAGAGACTGGGGGCTACCCTCCCAGGCCAGGAGCTCAGGGGACGGGCAGGAGGGTCCCGCGGGCCGTAGTTTGCCCACCTCTGTGCTAGAGGCACCCCGCCATCTGCAGTGAAAGTTTAAAGGACACAGTAAATTTGAAAATCCTATTTCAAGCTTGAAGCTACTTATAATTGAAAGACGTTAAGGAGAGAGAAAAAATATTTTCCTCTTTTCAGTTTGATTATGCATTTGACAGCATTTTCTGTAGTCGGTTTGACTGTTTCCTCTGTGTACATGCGGATAGGAGAATTCTCTTCCGAAAATGATTGTAAAACCTTAAAAATTTACATAGGGATTTAAGAGCTGGTAGGGAATCCTGGAGCTATTTTATTTTATTTTTTTTAAAAATCAGTTCGATTTTCAAATTGTCCCTTCTTAATTCACTTGTTCAATTCTATTTGAGAAGTCTGTCTTCATCTTACAGCCCAGCTACTGTCAATCATATTGCACTTATTTCTCATGTAGAGTAGATTGGCAGATGCACAGAGCTTTGACTTCAGATTTTATCAACCCTGACACAGTTAGCCCTTGGCACCAGCAGCCTAGAGCGACTGCTGTGAAGCTGTAATGCAGAATGCATTAGAGCTTAGCATTGAGGGAAATCCCGATCTGTGGCATTAAACTGCTGTAGTTTATAAATACACAGTAGTCCTTCAGCCTGGCTTAAAAAGTAGCATTTGTTGTCTGTAATCTCAGCCTTATACCTTTACTTCTTAAAATTTGTATATTACCCAAAAAAGCCATCAACATGCTGTTCACTTTCCACTCTAGATTCTTTTCTTGCTGAATCACCTTTTTAATTGGAAATCCTATTTCTTTTTAAAATATGATGCTCGTAGTAACTTAACTTGACCTGAAACAAACATACCATATGCATTTTTTTATACTGAAATCTGGTGGTGATTGTTACTGTTCCAGCTAATTTCATTTTGTCCATGTTTAGGTATGAGTATCGTGTGGAGATGGTTCACCAGTCCACCAATGATCCTGCTAAAAATATAATTCGAGAGTTTGCCTCTGACTTTGAAGTTGGAGAATGCTGGGGTTATAACAGATTCTTTCGATTGGACTTGCTTGCCAATGAAGGGTATTTGAACAGACAAAATGACACTGTAATTCTTAGGTAAGAGAGATCATTGGTTGGATCTACAAACCTGTTTTCTGTGGCATTTTTTTATAAAAGTGCTATGGTTATTATCAAAGTAGGAAATAATTAAAATAATTAGCATGCCATAATGTTTTTTAAATTAATCTCTGTCATAAAAGGAAAGGATTTTTTGTTCTCATGAGCTTTAAAGGATTGTGTGTTTAGGAGAGGAGGTGGGAAAGATGTGCATAGATTCCTTTGAGATGAAGCAGTCATCTGCAAAAACTCACTTGACACTAATATGCCTCTATTGGGCATGCATAGATAGAGAATTAAAAAATATTTCAGGAAAATTCTGGATGTGTTTTCAAAGGGGATTAATAATGCATTCCATCCCCTTTTGGATATTGTCATTGAGATTAATGGAACTCTGGGAAAGGAGAGTGTGGAAGAGTGTTTATAATGGTATTGAAGCTAACTTCGTTAGTGGAAATTTCAGCATTATGGCTAAATATAGCTATCCTGCACTTCTACTTCAAGTTGGGTTTTTAAAATATCACTTGTGGTTTGTCTATTCTGGTATTTCAGAATTCTGTATTCTAGAATATCTGGAAAAGTGTACAGGAATTAATTTCCCATCAGGCTTAAGCTTAATTTTATCACCTGGTTTTAAGCATTGAATTATTTTAGGTGGGACTTCTCAAGCATTTAAAAAATTTCCATTTTGTGGCATTCTAAAGGTTCCAGGTGCGTTCACCTACCTTCTTCCAAAAGTGTCGGGACCAACACTGGTACATTACTCAGTTGGAAGCTGCTCAGACAAGCTACATCCAACAAATAAACAACCTTAAAGAGGTAAGTGAGACGTTGGACGTGTATTTTAATGCCAAATTCAAACATGGATTTAAATCTTTGATTATAGTGGCCACTGACCAGTAAGTTTGCTTCACTGTCAGGTTTATTTGGATACCCATTGCTATTTTTAGAATGCTGATGGTGCTGGATTTTGTTTCCAGTTAGTTTCAATGTCTTTCATGTTAATCTGTTTAAATCTGTGAAATGCTGTTGCTGCTTGTAATTTGTTCTTAACAAATTTTCTTTGACGTATACTTATGTGTCTGTTTTTTAAAATATATTTAAGAGACTTGCAATTGAGCTTTCCCGTACCCAAAAATCACGAGGCATGTCACCTCCAGACACTCATCTTAGCCCCCAGAATGATGATGGTCCAGAAACAAGACCAAAGAAATCTGGACCGAATCCTGAAGTACTACTTGAGAGTGTCACCACTCCAGCATTAGCGAGAGATGCCAAGGATGATGATGAGGAGAAAATCCAGCATGAAGATTTTAATGTAGGAATTCTCTTCTGTTCCATTTTCAATTTTTATTTCATTTTATAATCCATTGTACTGTTACAGGAAAATTATAGAAGCATGTGTGTTGTGTGTTAGATGAACTATTCTCTACAAGTGCAGAACTAGTGGAAAATGAGGAGAAAGGATAGAGACTTTTAGGGAGCAGGAAAAAATTGTTTAAGGAGAGAAATTCCAAAGGCATGGTAAGCAAATCAGAGAATCTAGCTATCTAAAATGGTACTGTCAGGCAGGCATTGTATCTACTTGTGTTGCACTTTCAGACCCTCCTCAGCTCCTGGGTGATACTACTGACGTCTGGTTCTGCTTTCTCTGTTTAGAATGTACTGTAGATAAAATATAAAACACCCAAATACTTATGAGAATTTCTGTAAAGCAGAAATTTTATCTTGTTTTGTTGCTCCAGTATGAGCTCTCGGATGGTGATCTGGATGTAGACCTTGCTGGAGAAGATGAGGTAAACCACCTAGATGGCAGCAGCTCCTCTGCTAGTTCAA